AAATGTTGCTATCACGTCTTAATGGTTTTTGGTAAATATCAAATGATAGGTATGCATACGGGCATTTATAAACTAAAATGTTTAACAGTTATTAAATTTAACATTTATCAGTTATTACTTATTAGTTACCTATTAATGTTATTATTGATTAATAACATGAAAACCAGAGTATCCCGATATAATTCTGTACCATTGTGGAAAAAGCTGATAAGTGCATTAAAGTCGATTTTTAGATTTTATTTAGATCTAAATATGATATCTGTAGCACAGAATAAATTATTCTATGTCTGTTGCTCTATTATCATATCTGTTATAAGCATATTTATATATATACATATATATATATGTATATAATATGTATCTATAATATGTTAATAATAGCGATAAACTAAAATGATAACTTACTGTGTAATTGGAAAAAATAAAATTGGGACGGTATTTTGGTTGTATTTTAATGTATTCCCTAATTTAATCTATGAAGTGTAGGTTTAATATTAAGGGCAAAAAATAATTTCAGACTATATGTATTTAGYGTAWATATTATGAAAAAAAAATATTAAAATTTTATAATATTTAGGACATTAGGTATACATATATAGCCGTATAGGTACATTTTCAAAACATTTTGATTCTTTTCAGCTATTTATAGGCATAAGAAAATTCGAATTTTTATTAGTTTTTAAATATTATTGTTGATAAAAAATGTATGCTACGTCAAAAAGCTTAAAATTCTACAATACTATATAGGTTCCTCGTGAGTTTTATTACTGGAATTAAGATTGAAAGTTGATCGTAGTCCCACAAATATTTTTATGAGTCTCTGAAGTTTAAGTTTTGACGAATATATATATATATATATATATATAATATATCATTTTCTATACTTTTGTATAATTTATTATCAATATGTTCATTGTTTATTTTTAAGCTATTTCTAGACATGTTGATATTTAAAATATTTTTCTATACTTCACTAATATAATTAAAATATTTCACTTGGTGAAAATCTTTGAAAATTGTACTCGGGGTTCATCGTAAGCTTATATCAAAGCTACCAAAATTGAAATCTTAAAGACACATGGGGACAATTAGATATTTCAGCAAAGAATAAGAATTTTAATTATTTTGTGGAAGATTAAAAATATTATGGGAATAATATTATTTTGCAGAGACTTAAATCGTTTATACGTATATTATTATAAATTATTATAAGCTATTTATACCTTCAAAAACAATTTGACTCTGTTCTATGATAAGTCGGTATTGGCTAATAATATACTTGGTTATTTGTTAATAACAGAATAATAAGTGTGAATAATAATACAAGTTGCTATATTAATATTAATATAGCATAATTAATAATTATAGTATAATAAATGCAATGTTTTAAGTAGCCAGTACCTATTAGGTAAACATTAAACCAATACCTATTACCTACCATAATAGGGGAGATGCGGGTATTGCCGCCCATCGGTTAATACCGCCCACCCTGTTATTTCGATACCTGATAAAGATTTTAAGTGGATATTAATACTAGCTTAATTTATAACCTCTTAGTATTTCATCCATATCAACACCGAATTGCTTACTGATCTYATCACACATTTATAACGAAATTTATTTTTTCGGTGCATTTCTTCTAATATCAACCGGCCCGAAATTAAGCTGTAAGTATGTAAATTTTAATTTGATTTCACCAGTGGGCGGTATTACCCGACATGAATTATTAGATAATTGGTTTATACAATTTATTAAATTTTAATTAAACATTTTATTTTAAAGATAACTATGGGTAAAACGTGTCAATGGAATTCTGAAACATTAGTGAAAGCAATCAATAATGTACGAAGTGGTGAGGGAGTTAGGAAAAGTGCAAAACTTTATGGTTATTTTGTTTAGTAATATTTTAAAGTAAAATTGTTTCATTATTTCACTAAAATATAGTGATACATAGTTATATTTGTTTAGGTATTCCATATTATACTTTAAAAGATAGATTGAAACAAAATTAAAATTCGGATCCTCGTTTTGGATGTTTTTCTACCTTTACACCTGAGCAAGAAAATTAACTAGAAAAGTATTGTATTTATCTTGCAAAAATGTTTTATGGCATAACTCCATTAGAACTACGTAAGGTCGCCTATGATTTTGCAGAAAAAAATGGCATGAAACATAAATTTAATAAAAATAAACAGATTGCTGGTAAAGATTGGTTTCAAGCATATCTAAAACGACATCCAAATCTGAGTATACGAAAACCTGAAGCAACTAGCCTAGGCCGAATATCAGGATTTAATAGAGAATTTGTAGAAAAGTTTTTTACTAACCTGAACGAAGTTCTTTTATTACATAAATTTAAACCAGATCGTATATACAATGTTGACGAAACGGGCATCTCAACTGTACCTACACCATCCAAAATTGTTGGTCCAAAAGGTGTAAAACAATTAGGAAAATCAGTAAGTTGGGAAAGAGGGAGGAATATAACTGTTGTGTGTGCAATCAGTGCTTCTGGAAATTATATTCCCCCAATGTTTATTTTTCCACGCGAACGTATGTCAGAGCAGTTAACCAGAAATGGCCCAGTTGGAGCAATTTATAGTTGCTCAAAAAAAGGTTGGATAAATGAAGACTTTTTTTTAGATTGGCTAAACCATTTTGTAAGTTTATCTTTTGCCTCCAAAAAAAATCCTGTGCTCTTATTACTAGACAATCATTGTAGTCATTCAACATTAGCTATTTTTGATTATTGTCGTAGTAATGGTGTAATTATGTTGTCATTTCAAAAAATAACTCCTTATAATGTAGCTGAAATATTCAAAGATGCTTATGTTCGAATTTCAACTATAGAAAAAGCTCAGAATGGATTTCGTGTCAATCGTGTGGTTCCATATAATCCAAATATATTTACTGAAGAAGATATTTTACCAGCCACTATGATTATGGAACCAACTACTACAGTTATATCAGTCATAATGGTGTAAATATTGAAGTCAGCACATATCAAACCTCAAATACCTATGTATCTGTTCAAGATATTTCTCCCCTGAATGCCAAAAAACAGAAAAATAAAAAAAATAATGATTCTAGAAAAGGTAGTTCCAAAATACTGACAGCTACTCCTGAGAAAGATGCTCTTTTAGAAAAATAGCAAAGAAAAATTTCAAAAAGAAAATCAAACTATACAGGATTAAAAGAGAATATAGAAAAGAAAAAAAAGATTGAGAAAAAAGCAACTAAAAAAGCAACTAAAAAAGCAGTAAAAAAAAATTAGTATTAAAAAACATAAATAGTGAAACATCAAGTGACGAAGAAATGGTAAATGCACTTTGCCAAGATAGTTCTGATAATGAAGTAGATGAATTTGAAAATGAAATATGCATAATCTGTAATGAATTTAGTAAGACTGAGATGTGGTATAGATGTGGAAAGTGTAAAAAGTGGGCTCATAAGGAATGCTCTGGACATGACAACTATAAAAATTATGTATGTGACTTATGTACCTAAATTGACACTTGATGTGACCAAGGTACCTATTATTTTATTGGTAATAATTTTAAAACTTAGAATTAATTAAATTTTTTTTATACATATATTAAAAACAACTTGATCTAATAGTCATTATTTACTTACCAAAAGACTGGTTACCAATGTACCTAATTATTTATTTAGGTATTAAAAAACTTAATTATGATGCTGTTATGTTTTTAATGAAGAATTGTTTATTTTGTGATGTTATAATGTTATTTATATGTACCTAATAAGTAAAGTTACTATTTTTTATTTCTATTAACTAAAATTTGTTGTGATGTTTAATAAAGTGAGAATTTTTTTTTATTGTTATAAACTTATAAAATATTAACTAGAAATAAGTTAAATTTGTTTTGATGTTAAATAAAGTAAAAGTATTTTGTTGTTATTATAAATAATATCATAATTATTTATACCCTGTAGTTAATCATCAAAACCGGCACTTACTACTAGTAGGAACTGAAAAATAATATAAAATATGAATTATTATATACCTAAGACATTTTTGAATTTAAATTAGATTATATTTTGTGAGAATTCGGGCATTTTACCTACCAAAAACCACCCACGACCGAAGGGGAACACTTCGGGCGTGACCTATGAGCCGCACCGCGTGATGACCCGAAGGCCAAGTCGGTGGAGCTCATAGGCTTTGATACACGCAACGGCAAATGAATGCCGAGGATTTATATTGGGGAAAAAAATGTAAAATAAATAATATTAATAAAAAAATGTGACAAAATATAAGGTAATCATA